GAGATTTTAATGCATGGCAAGGGATCGATTTCTCGGTGGGCGAATCTCTTATTCGATTTGTAATCCTGTCGCTTCCGGTTCTCTTACCCTCCCAGATCGGACGGAGGCGAGACACCGGCCGGAAGTGGATCGAGCCAGAGGTTCGCTTGACCTCGGGTCGCTGTGTGATCTTCCGTTTCCGGAAGCAAACTCGGTTAACCGGTGTGATAAGCAATCTTACGGACCTCCTGTGTTATTACATAGCTAATAACAATACTCAATAGGAACTAGCCTATGTTACTGGCATTAAGAGTATAGTGTTTGCAGGAACCAGTTCGGTCGTAAAACGAGGTTTAATTATTTAAATTTTGTTTACACGTATTTACGCGATATAAGATTGATNTTTCCGGAAGCAAACTCGGTTAACCGGTGTGATAAGCAATCTTAAGAGGAAGAATCGCGCGCGAGCCAGCTAGTTTACCTTTGTTTACCCGGTCGAATCTGCCGGATTTTCGTGAATTTTTAAATATATCCATGCCGCTAGTGTTACCATACGAAAGCATTGCTTTATATTTTCATTAGAAACCCGTTAATTTGATATTATTTACGAGAGGAAAGTGGATATCGCGCGACCATTACATAATTTACCAATAAAAAAAAGTTAGATTTATGGATCTTCGGAGGAACGTTTCGATTCATTTACAAATATTTAATGTACACGTCCATCTATCGACTTTCCATTAAAAAAAAAAAAAAAAAAAGGCAAGCTTCACTTTTAATGTGGGTAATTTAACTCCACATCAAAAGCCAAACTTAATTCCTTTTTTCTTGAGGAAATTATTCGATATTGCGTGGTATAAATGGTATCTCTACGAACGTTTATACATTCTTCGGTGTGTAGTAAATTACGATTGCATGGCTTTTTATCCGTAACCTTCTAATTATACACCCGTAACCCCTATTGCACGAAACTACAAATAATCGGGGAGCATTGAGCGACCTCTTATTCTACGCTTAAGGGTAAATCTTTTATGGAATTTAAAGTTTTATCTCGTTGCTTATTTACACGTCTAGAGAAAAACTGGTTTAATTTCGTACACAGAAAAATATTTCGAGTGTTCCTCTTGAAGTTCCTCAATGTACACGAGGAACACACGGTGTCTCTCCGTATGGTGCTTATATCGAGAGTGCCCTCTTCTATATTTTGGGTGGAATATAATCGAGAAATATTCCTTTTATCGGGGAAGCAAAGCTTGGAGACAAATTATACACCAATAAGTAGGCATACGCATTCATTATTATGCAGTTGTTGATAGTATTATGGTCGATTCGAATATATTATGCACACTCCTATCGTTTTTTTTACTGTCTTCTACTATTAGATTTATGGAAAACGAATATATGTTTAGAAGAAAAACAAACGGAAATAAATAAATAAAAAACGTTTCTACTGTTGTCTAATGACGAAGATATTTCCTCCCTGTTGTTACCGGATATATAAGCTACATGTAGAGAATTTATTATGCAATTGACGTGAAAAATTCAAAAATATTTCACATTTATATAAATAAATGTGGAATTCTATACATTTTTAAAACCAAAATTTCAAAAATTCCTCTCATTTTCGCAAAAACAATTGTTTTATTTATAATAAACGTGACTCGTTACAATGGAATGTATCGAAAAATTTTACAATAAACTGTCTTATACGCTTTATTCTATGGGCAAAAAGGGTAATTTTCTGAGTCGGGGAGCCCAAACTAATCTTTTACAAGAAAATATTTCCCTAAAAAATTCCCCCGAAGAAGTCAACACTGTACACGAAAGCCCTTTTATTCAAATATGCCTAAGTCTCACGAAATTACAACGCGCTTTGGTGCTGGTATTAGTATTTATTCACGTTCAAATTTCATTGTAAATTATTAGATTAATTAGGGACATTCACGTAATGTATTTCAGAAGTGGGTAGTATTTATTGCAACCTACGCAAAGATATATATATATATATGCAAAATATTCTTAAGCAAATCTTAATTAAATAAGGGCCAGTTTCTCGTAGAAAGTCCACCATCTTGTCAGATCGCTCATACGTTACTTGCTTTATTCTACCAATCCTAATCCTCGCTTGTTCCGTGGCAATCAGGGTATTCAACATGACAAAGAGAAAATAAAATTTCGAGCCAAGAGTAAATTGTAACTGTGCTTGAAGGTACTATACGCTCCGATATGGTTTTGAAACTTTTGTTGAATGTTTGCAATAGAAGAAACAAAGCACAGTTGAGCGTGCTGTGTTTTGGTCCTCACGCCTCTGCCCTGTGTAATCCTAAAGACCACAACTTGGCAAAAATCCTTCTGCTCCACTTCCTTACATATACAATTTCTTTGTTTACAATCGCATCTATTTTTAACTTATTATTATACACAATTTGTTTACAACTTGTTTATGATAACGAGCCAAAAAATTTTACAATCTCTATTAATGTAAATAATGAATATTTCAGGACAGATTTTAATGTCTCGATCAATGGAGGCATCGATTTATATTACTTTTTGCATTAGTTCATACAGTATTTTATATTATAGAAGGAAACTAAACAAGGGAAAAAGTGTGTTTTGTAATGGCATATTTCGAAAATTTTGTTGTTAGAGGAAAATTATACATTATTAATCGCAGTATATAATGCCATATTTTCTAAGGAGATTAATAAAAACTAATTGTGTACGAATTCGTACTTAATACTACCTATTACAATACAATACACCTCCTTTTTATCGTCTAATTGATTTCTGAAGAAACGTAAGCGCGTTGCCTTATTTCTCTCAGGGTCAGTCGTAAATTCGGGTCACGTTCCTGGAAATACAGTCGAACTATACAACACCACGCCCGTAATGAATGACTAAGGGAAAAAAATACGGCATTTATATAGTTATAACAGAAAATTTATACCAGTCTTTGATAAATGAAAGTTGTAAAGAGTGAGGTGGAAAAACAGGGTCTGTATTATACGAATCTCTGTGTGCCTTACTGTAAAATATACTCATTAACGAAAATCTTTCAAATGACATACCAGTAGACTCCCCTATAACACTGTAGATATTTCCGTGTTATATGAATTCCACGTTGTACGAGTCACTTAGATTTTACAAATACGTGTGCCGGGCTGTGAACGGTTCATGTATTTGTAAAATCTAAGTGACTCGTACAACATGGAATTCATATAACACGGAATTATCTAGTGTTATAGGGGGGTCTACTGTACTGAATTTGCTCAAAATTCATTTTTAAGGAAGAAAACATACAATTTTGTTAAAAAATAACTTTTATACTATTATTTAAAAAAAAGCTTAATTTTGTGGAGAGTTACGAATTTTATATAAAATAGTAAATAACCGGTAAAACCTTCATTGAGTCCGACCCCTCTCGAGATACGACACCCCTCTATTTCCTCATACCCTGGACCTCTAACTCCACCAAAATTTAATAGTGTTAATCTTTAGCCTGTATAATCCTTTATAAAGTAATTCGCAAAAGCTCATTTCTATGAATAAAGCTATGAAATTAGATTGTAATTTTTGGCAGAATTTCTAATTTATTAAACTGCCAAAACACGTGATACATTTTAAGAATTTTAATAGAGTTTCTCATCGGCAATAACGAAGAAATACGAGAAAATCCAGTCTTAAAATAAAACGAGTTGCCAAAAGAAAGCCGATATACCATTCCGAAAATAATTTTAAAGGTCGATTTTTATATCCCTTCGCTCCATATTAGTGGTATTTCATTTTGAAACCAAACAATTCATTATTCGAAACCAACGTAAAGATTATTTTATAATTTGATTTAATAGAAAACACGTCTGAAATATTTGTATAATTAAGTTACGGCATCGCAAATCAACGCAACACCTGGAACCAGTTACCCTTTTTAAGGGTAACTGGTTCCTATTCAGGCGTTACAGACGTTGAGAAAACCTGGAAAACTCCAGGTGTTCAGCCCGTCCTGGCCAGGCGAATCCACAGTTCCCCGAACTCCCAGTGTTCAGAGAAAGGGAACCGCTTGGCTACTGGTGGGCCCTGTACCAAATATCTATCGAATATTTTGTAAAATACGTTGGTATAAGGCAATGCAACACGCTGGTGATATACCAAGGGGAATACCTCCCCTGCTTTATGGGCACTTATTTAGGTGTTAGAACCCTGAGTTAGGAGCGCAAGGTTATTAAACATGTTTTGGTATTTTATGCACTTTTATTACTGGTTTGCATTTCGTTCACGAAGATCCTCTTTAGCCATACATGAATTTAGTGTTTGAGGAATTCTAATATTTGTTATAAGAAGCTTTAATTGAATGTATATAAATGATCTTTCGCTCCATCTAATTCGAGTGCTGACACGTGTTTGAATTTGTATGTGTATTTGAGATCATAAGAAAAAGCGAGAAGGCAATCCTTACACTTTTCGGCCATCGAGAGATGATCCTTATACCTGCTGGATACGGAAGAAGCGATCCTTAAATTTTCCGGACACATTCGATTGCTCTTTTGTTGTGTTTTCTTGGCTTTTGGCACCCATTTCCGTAATGCTTTTGCCCCCTAAATTCCGCTCCGTTACCTCGTTTGCGTTAAGTAGTTTCGATATTGTCGCCTCGACCCCACTAAACCTCGAAACTGAAGCCATAATCCCCATTTATTTGGATCCCTCGCGGAAATTAATGGAAAATGGCAAAGTTTATTGCTAGATTTATTTACTGTATTACATTGTATAGTGACAAAATGAGTGGTGTACTGTTTCTTAAATCGCAAAACAGTTAAAAAGACGTATAGTTTAGTCGATACGTCATTCGGAGGAAAGAAAACACAAGAGTTAAAATGAGAATTTTCCAAGCGAAACATTTTTAACCCGGGAGTAAACAGGAATGGAATTTGGTGGCAAATCTGCCAGGTATCGGATGAGGGGGATTCTCTTACTGGATACCTGGCAGTTTCGCCGTTTAAACGCATTTTCTTCTCTACTAAGACGGAAAACGTAGTTGATTCCATAATTTCCAGGAAGAATGGATGCTCTAAATCTCTGGTAAGTCATCACCTGAATCAATTCTAAAAGACCAGATCCAATTATTAAAAAATAAGTCTCGAATTTTAGGATTTTAATACTCCGAGGGTTTCGAAACTGGGAATTCTCCTCCGATAAACCGGAGGAGAATTCTCACCGATCCCTTCGTCGATCCAGTTTCGGGATTGACAACTCATTATGTATTACTCCACTTCCTAAGTTGTCAGACGGTGACTAATGAAGGGAGAAAAAGCTACGTTTGTCTCTCCTACAAGTTAACTCTTACCTAATTGTTTACTAAAAGTTTTTTTTCTTTCTTCCTGACTGATGATCTAAAAACAGTCTTAAAAGGATGCGGTGCATTACTCCGTCTGCTTGATGATTTTTTTAAGGATTTTACCACTCGTTTACCGTTTTATCCACTCGTAGAATTTGTGGACACATCGACTAATGGATTCGGAAGGTGGTGACAGAGAGTTATCGTACCTTTTATCGCTAACACGAGCTATTTCTTTAAATCAGTGGCATCCAGACTCTTTTGATTGCTACTTCCTTCGACTTTTTATCGCTCCCTTCCTCTTTTGTTTGCTGATATAGTTAACAATAAATAAATGCGGTGAGTCAGAATTAACACACAGTTTTCACAGAAAAGATCTACTTACAGTAGGCAACATCCTTAACTGTTACAGGCCTGCCTGTACTTATTGGATTAATCGACTCTCAAAAATGCCTTGTCGATCCTTGAAAGTCGATATGGACCACTTTGGGAACCCCTTTTTTGTTGCATACATTTCGAATGCATCCCTTTGTTATCGTCTCATATATGTAAAACAATCAAAAAATTTACCTTAATAATAAATAGAAATGCAAAACTGTTATAGATTTAACTCGTCACTTGTCTTTGGTTGCCAAGAAAACTAGTAGAAAAAATACTTTGCTATAATTGCCAAGGTCTAGGTTACGGCCTCTATGGAAGATGAAGTCTCTTTCGACCTATATAATTGGCCAAGTATAAGTTTCTCTTAAGTGATATTCGGTAGTTATTCTCTTCTTTCTTCGTAATTGTCTTCCTTTTCTGAGATGTTTCAATATCCCTTCGGTAAGTTTCTTTCCCAAATTAGCACACAAGTTCACTACTATGAAACATTTGGTGTTGCAATCGTGTTACAGCCAAATTCTGTGTATTATCCTGTAGCCACGTATTATCTACGATGGCCATGAACCGCATTTCTTGTGATGTAGTTATTATTATTATTATAAAACCTGGTACAAATCTGCATACCGCTTTAAGGGGTCATCTGGTTGCACTTGGACTGTAGTTACTTCATTGTAATGACTATAAAATTTACTCTTAAAAATACAAGTTTGCTTTACAGAATTACTATTCCGGCCATTATAACTGTTCATAAACGTCTCGATGCCTTAACTAAAAGCATTGCTGATGTCATCTTAAAAGCATCTTCAATTTGGAATTATAGAAGCATGCGTGCGTTTCTTCAGGTGTTCTGTATTTAAACCTGTATTTGATAAGAAATCTGCGAGACAATTAAATGCGTGTTTTCATCATTTCTTACGCGAATTCATTCATGTATTCGTATTCTTTTATTATGTTTTACTGTCAATTGTAATGTGCAAACTTTGTCTCTTTTGCAGTAAAAAGAATGCAGTGGTATTACGAACACAGCTTTCGGTTCGAGTGCATGCCATCATAGGTGAGTGTTTTAAGTGTTTTCTTACGCATTAAATCGCATAAACGGGTTTAAATTTGGCTCCGAAAAGATCGAGAATTGTAATTTCACATTTTTGTTCCAGAAAAATTGATGAATTCCACGGGCAGAGAATTGAGAAGAGCTCTCTTTTCCCTGAAACAGATTTTCCAGGTAAGAAATAAATCATCTCTGGTATTTAGTTGACGTGGCATCAAATACATTCGTGAACTATACAATGACTGGATCCTAATTACAAACACTTTCTTTATTCTATTAAATTTATTTTCCCTGTATTTGAAAAGTTCTATTACCTCAGATACAAGACAGATGCCTCCTTGCACTTGGTATTGCAGACAACTGTCTATACCAGTGGTTCTCAACATTTCTCACATTGAAGACCCCTAAAACTCACACACCGTGATGGACTGCGGACACTGGCAACATAGAACCACGTTTCTCAACCGGTTCTCTGTGGATCCCTAGGCAGGGCTGTATGGTAGATTTTTCTCAGTACGATGCAAACTTCGAAATGCAACCTTTCAATGCTGCTTATGCCGCCTCCTTGTGGTCCACGAGCCCACAATAGGGTCACTTGGTGGCAAGGGATGGGGCTCAATATATATATGGATGGACCATCCCAAAAAATTCCTGGAACTTTTCAACCTGTTCAAATTTAATCCCAGATTTAAGGGCAATGGGTTCGCCTTAACTGCCTTGGAGAACATGGGAAATTCTTGGCCATTTATCCAATCTTTTATATTTATGAGTGTTGAAAGTGTCAAGAGCAAAATTCTCATATAGACATATTTATTTATTATAACTTTATATAATTTTATTCACAACTATAACTCTTGGTATTTTTATATTTTTAAAGGATGACAAGGATCTAGTTCATGTATTTGTCCAAAGCGATGGATTGGCGTGCCTCATTAAAGTTGGTTCAGAAGTGGATAAAAATTATCAGAATTATATTTTGAGAGGTAAGATAATTACTGATAATTTACTAATAAAGATATTAGGTCACTTGATTGACTAAGTATTTTGGAAAATCAATTGTAATCATGTATGAGGGATTTAACAGATGCTGTTGTGTTCATCTTCAAGTTACAAAGTCTTTGTAGTGTTTTTTGACCCATCCTCCAGAGTATTAAGACACCACCTTAATTGCTCAACCATCCAGCCATTGGTTTGGTGTTGTTAATCAAGATGCAATTCCATAAATAAACTTTGAATTATACAATAACTTGTGTGAAGAAGTCTTCCTTGTTTGATAGAATAATTTAATAAATAATTTGAAGTCTTTCTACATGATTACCATTGAGCAGAGTGATTCACTTGAGACTAAACACTTTGTTCAATACTTTCTGATTGCACAGTCACAATTTAAATAATATTTTCCATGAGAAGCTTTATTCTTCTTGGAAAAAAAATATTTATTATGCTTTTTAAATTGTTAAAAAATCTAATTTTTATTTGATTTCTTTTATAGCTCTGGGTCAAGTAATGTTATATGTTGACGGAATGAATGGAGTGATACAACATAATGAAACTATTCAGTGGTTATATTCTATAATTGATTCAAAGGTAAGGTAATTAAACAATTGCATAAGAACACAAGTAGTAAGAATAAGAGATTTTTTTTCAGTATTTATAAAAGTATGCTTAATAGTAAAGATGATTATAGAATCCCCATTAATTAATTGGCTAACTTGACAATCATCTCATCCTTATTTACAATGTTTCATTACTGTTACATTACATCAATGAAATATATGGAAATTTATAAACTCAAATTCTGTAATATAGTAGTAAAGTAGTATGGCATTTTCTATGCCAAGAGAGAGTGACTTTTTAATATTTTTAATAATGTAATAAATATTTTATTTAATAAAAAAAAAGAAGTATAGAAAACTAACTTTTTATTCTTGCATTACTTAGGAGAATTGGTAAGATTGCATTATTTCTTATATACTTATTTTTAGTACTTTTAATAAACTATACTTGAGCAATATATTAGTAATAGATAAATATAATATCTCTAAGTTTATAATTGGTTTCTGTAAATTATTCATTATTTCCTATAAGTACAGTCAGTGGCGGCCTTAGGGGGTGGCAAGCAGGGCAATCGCCCGGGGCCTTGCTCTTGGAGGGGCCTCGCACAACAACCAAGTAGAAAAAAGTTGATATTTAAAACTTTTTATTTTATCCTTGGCTATTAGTTATAACAATAAAATAAATTTAATTTATAGTACAGTATATATTAATATTAATAAGTGCCTACTATTTCAATTCACATACTTTGCACAAAGGACAAGGGCCTCGCAAAGATCTGCCGCCCAGAGCCTCGCAATGGATAAGGCCGCCGCTGC